TCTCAGATGTTTGGCAAGTAGTTGATAGGTGAAGACACTATGTGCGTGTGTCATTGTAAAATGTAATCAATATGGCTGGAAAATTGTCATATGACTTGATGGTAAATAAATGGTTGCACACTGATTTGCTGCTGTTACATATTTTGAAATAAATATGAGAAATTAACAAGTATGCATTATATAGGAGGCACAGTGGAGTAATGGACAGCGGCTCGGATTGAGGAATCGGAGGGCTGACCTCAAATTCCAGTTGAATCCATTACATTCACTTACGTGCTAATACCCTTGGGAAAGGTATGAATCCTCTTCTTCTCCCCTCAGCTATGGGTAAATAGCAGGACAGACTTGGGTCTATAGCCTTGGATGGCAACTGGTCTACCGCAGAAAGAAATAGCAACCTACTGCCGGGGGGGGGGATAATCTACCCCATCAGTCATGTATCAAAAGATACATGATCACCTAAGCATGTATCACACATGGCACAAACTGACTGACACATTATAAAAAAAATATCATTATTACTTATTGCGTTTGATCTAAAGTAATATTGTATAATATGAGTAATAATTATTACAATAACTTGTATTGCAAATACAAATTAAAACGTGTGTAATTAATAATAAAATTGATGATATTGTTAGCTCATTATTTTGTATCATGAATGCTTTTAAAAGGAACCCAACAGGCTTATGGGTCATCTAGTACTATAAGTAGTTATGTGATGAATCACTGTTATTGTTATAATAGATATTAGCAACCTCAGCATAGTTCTTTCTTCTCTTATTGAGTCAAGAACCTTCTCTTTTGCATATTCAAATTGCCAGCATCACTGTTCTTGCACGTTGTGGCCATTAATAATTAAAATTTATTGTTTACTTCTGGGGTTGACCACAGGATAAATATGTAGCTGAAAAATTTATTTGTAGTCCTAAGGATTTTGGGACTTTGTATAGGTTCTTTTTAATTTAATGTATATAATCTCGTAATTGTTTTAAATGAAATCTGCTTATTTTGTAAATGGTCTAAAATATAAATTGATATCAATTTGTTAATGAAATTTTTTGACACTTTAACTAATGTGATGAACATTCTTATACATTTTTATGAAACATGTATTACCTACAAAAGGTTGACATGCCATAAAAACAAATCAGTCAAATATACAACAAGATAAACATTCATATTTAATGAATAACTTCAGAGGAAACAAAACTTTAATTTCATTAAGAATGTTTTAAAAAAAATTTCCCTTCTAAAACTGCTTATAAATAAGTAAATTTGTAAACAATCACTAAATATAGAAGAAACTTAGTGTACTATTTATTAACCATTCCTGTACTATATCACAAAAAATTCTGCATCTGCTTTGATGAACTAAACCAATTTTAGTACGAGACAGTATTTGTAGGATATCTAATGAAGAATGAATTTACTACCTCCATTTTGCCTAGACAACTAGACTAACCATCACCCTACAGCAGGTGTTTCTTTGCTTTTATATAGACACTCCATATGTTTGTCATGCATTACTAGTTCACCTTGTTAAATATTTATGTAAGTTCATGTTAAAAATAAACAAAAGTGAAAGGGTAACATTTACATTTGTATCTACTCTCCTAAAAATGGATTCAAATAGCAAATACTTTAAATAGACAATATCGGAGGGTAGTCAATCTCCTATTTCACATCTAAGGTTATTACAAGCATTTAATACCCAAAAACTATTCCCTTCTTTATGATAAAGTTTCAGCAAGATCAATAAGTGGGTTGATATTATAGGAGACAGGGTACAAGTTGTAAGCATAAATAACCTTGCTTTCTGTATTGTTTGACTACCTTGTCCACACAGAATATGTATATCTTAAATCAATACTTATTGTACTCAGCGTAATATCATGCCTATCACATCAGTGGAGGTTACTCTCACCTTGGGACAAGCTCAGTAATTCACAGTGCAAATATAGATATTTTACAGCTTTATTATTTACTAGGATTTTTTTAAAATTCTCAGTTTGAAGTTATTGCTAATGTTTTTTGTTGAGATTTACAAACTCTACTTTCCCTTCTGTGTTTATATTTACAGTGCTACTACTGTGTATTATATTTTACCAGAATGAAATATATAAAAACTTGAAAAAAAGATATGCAAAAAAGAACAATATTGCATTTTTATTAAATAAGTATTTATTTTAATCATTAAATTGTTTTTCAAATAGCTGGAGTATTTTGTATGCTCAATAATAAAACTTAATTTTTCACCAAAAATTAATGAGAATTGTATTAAGCTACACACCCTAGTAAAACAAACTGTACTTTGTACCCCCTTACCTGTTTGCACTTCTCCCCAAAATTTAGTTTGGATCAGTCAATGTATGGCTATTTTACAGGGTGTGATGGATGGACGGACTAATGGAAGTCGCAGAATTTTATATATAGACTAGCAGTAGAGCCCGGCATTGCCCGGGGATATAACAGTAAGAGATAGATCAAGTATCCACCATCATAAAGACTGAAAAATAAAATTGACAAAGATTAGTGTTGACGGACATGCATGTCTTAATTAGTTGTTTTTTTTTTTTGTTTTTTTTTTTTTTTTTTTTACGAATTGGTCAAACCCAAACTCAGACAAAAACATTGTTTTCAATCATTATGAGTCTCTATCGATTGAATAGAATTTTATTATAAACAATTGTCTTGTAAATGGAATTTTTAAAGCATTCTGAATGTAAAAATAAAGAAAATGTGCAAGACAATAAGAAACACTACATGCCAAAAAAAAAAGTGAAGTTTTGTTGAAATCGGTTGAAAAATGTAGGTAGCCTTTCTGTAATCTTTTAGTTTTACAATTTATGATTTTGACTTATTGAATACAGTAATAAAAATTGCATATTTTGCTTGTGGTGATTCATAATTAGAATTCTGATTTGAATATATTTTCCACTCGTTTCTAATACAAAAAATATTAACTATTTGGGTTTATTAATTATGATCTAACAAATCTTAGCCTTTCTGTAATAATAATCTTTTACAATTTATGATTTTTACTTATTGAATACAGTAAAAAAAATTGGACACCATGTGTATTTAAAGTAGTTTCCCGTTCCGGTTATTATTTTTAGTTAGGACTTGTGTATGTTTAGATTTCATTATCTTTCCCTAAAGTTAAAGAATTTATCCGATGTTTGTATTCGTACAATTAGTAGAGATCGTTAGATTATTGTTTAAGGTTGACGGACACGCATGTCTTAATTAGTTTTAGTTTTGTTTTTTGTTTTTTACGAATTGGTCAAACTCGAACAAAAACATTGTTTTCAATCATTACGAGTCTCCTGATTGAATAGAATTTTATTATAAATAATTGTCTTGTAAATGGAATTTTTAAAGCATTCTGAATGTTAAAAATAAAGAAAAAAGTGTGCAAGAGAATAAGAAACAACCTGCCAAAAAAAAAAAAAGTGAAGTTTTGTTTTATCGGCTGAAAAATATAGGAAATCCGTTCCCATATTTAAAGGAACCCACACACACAAACAACCTGATGTGAGTTGTCCCCCTTCCATTTTCACGATGTCTCTTAATCGTGTTTTCAAATTGATTTTGTGCAAAACAATTATATTTTTCCCATTTTGGGCGCTGTTAGAACCACCACAAAGTAATTTTATGTAGTCCTGTGAAGTTTTGTTGAAATCGGTTGAAAAATGTAGGAAATCCGATCCAATATATAAACGTTACGCACACACACACACACACACACACACACAATCTGCGTTTTATAATAAGTAAGATTGTATAATATGTATATGGTTTGTATGTTAGTGTGTTATTTATATGTATGATAGTATATGTATGAATATATTTTCAGTATGTAATAAAAGTGATTAAATAAAATATCATTAAACTTATGATACAGAAGAGGAGTGCTTTTCTTTTACTCTTTATCAAAGATTTTTTTCCAACACAAATGGATAACAATTATGAACAACTTATGCTACATTATTTTTATGATTTGAATCTGCTTTGGTTGTATCAGTTTCAGTTTTCGTAAGTCGCTTAGATGGAAGAATATGATTATTAAAGACATGCTGAGCAATTATGAAAAATCTAAAAACAAATATTTCAGAGTATGGCATACTCCTTTATTTTTAAAAAAATAATGATATTAAATAAAATGCAAGTATCACGTATTACTATTAGTCAATGCAGAAAGGTTCTCAACTATTCCACTTCTAGAATTTCTTTTGGAATTCCTTTCTTGGATAGGCCAAGAACTTTTCAGCACTCACTGATAGTAATAAGTCATAGACAAGTTTTAGTGAGATCTTTATGATGATGATGATTTCTACAACTCTTGATCATAGATGAGTAATAAAATAATATGACTCAATAACTATGTAGCTAGTGTGATGATGATGATATGGCATTTCTGGGCTGAGGACTGCCTAGATTAAGTTTATGGCCAAAGCAGAGATTTACCTTATGGAATCAACAGCCACATGTCTATGACCAATGTGAGTCTTCAAGTTGGAAGATCAGCTGTGGTTTGACCTGGATTAGGGTGAGCTCTGCCAGGTCTATTTGCTCAAGACATTATGCACATCTGGGAGGAAAATGGTCAGGTGCACAGATGTACAATAGTCTTACAACCACACCCAATCATGGGACTGATAATAATGAACAACAAAAGCCTTTCCTATCTCCCCAGTTTATTTGGGTGGATATTGATTAATTAATCTTGTTTTCAAAACAGTTTATTTCCATTTGAACATCTTATATCTAATAAGTATACTGTATTTTCTGAGCCTATGATTTCATATAAACAATATTATTTTATTAGAATGTGTTTAACTGTGTTTGTCTATATCTCTGAGAAGTCTATAATTATCCTTTGAATTCATTTATCTGAATTTTGTTCAGACAAAGGAGTTCAGTTTTCTAAATTTGGAATGTATCCAACTTTGCTCAACTTTTAATATTTTTATTCGTTTACTTTTTTATTTTTCCAGTACCAAGTAGCCCAGCTCTACTCTGTGGCCGAAGCCAGTAAAAATGAAACTGGTGGTGGGGAAGGAATCGAAGTTTTGAAAAATGAACCATTTGATGAACACATCAATGTTCCTAAAGAACCCCTTTACGCAAATGGCAAAAAATATACCACAGGCCAGTTTACACACAAGATATACCATTTAAAAAAGTATATATATATATATATCATAGATTACTTATAAATTTATTACTATAAATGATATATTTACTGGATACATATATTTGAATAGACATTCCAGTTTTTCATTTATTTTTATTTTTTTGAACAGTGTAATTGGTGTCTACCAGCCTGGCCAATTAAAAGACTTAAAGAAAATGTGCTTCTTGGTATTTAATTAAAATTGATAAAAAAACAAAAAAAAACTCTACAAAACTCCAAGTGAATAAAATCAAGTTGAAAAACCAATTAAATGAACAATTATTAATTATACAAGGACTTAAGTAAATTTAAAATTGTTTAAATTTTAAGATGATTTTCTTCATAACATTTTATTAAATAATTTGTAGATTTTCACTGATTTTACAAATAAAACATGTTGACATTTTAATAATACTGAAAATGGCTTACTATTTTGTAAGATAGAATTATGGACAGGAATGAAAAAATGTCATTGACAGCTATTTTGAATTTGGGTTTCATGTCATTTTTTTCTTTTTTTCTTTTTTTTTCTTTTCTTTCTTTTCTTTCCTTTTTTTCTGTTTTTTCTTTTTTTTTCTTCTCGTTTTCTTTTTTTTTTCTTCTCGTTTTTTTTTTTTTTTCTCGTTTTCTTTTTTTTTTTCGTTTTTTTTTTTTTTTCTTCTCGTTTTTTTTTCTTCTAGTTTTTTTTTTTTTCTTCTAGTTTTTTTTTTTTTTTTTTTTTTTTTTTTTTTTTTTTTTTTTTTTTTTTTTTTTTTTCTTTTTTTTTTTCTTTTTTTTTTTTTTTTTTTTCTTCTTTTTTTTTTTTTTTTTTTTTTTTTTTCTTTTTTTTTCTTTTTTTTTTTTCTTTCGTTTTTTTTTTCTTTTTTTTTTTTCTTTTTTTTTTTTTCTTTTTTTTTCTTTTCTTTCGTTTTCTTTTTTTCTCGTTTTCTTTTTCTTTCGTTTTCTTTTTTCTTTCGTTTTCTTTTCGTTTTCTTTTTTTTTTCTTCGTTTTCTTTTTTTTTTTTTTCTTTTTTTCTTTTTTTCTTTTTTTTTTTTTTTTTTTTTTATTTTTTTTTTTTTTTTTTTTCTTTTTTTTTTGTTCTTTTTTTTTTTTTTTTCCAGCTTTTTTTTTTTTTCGTTTTTTTTTTTTTTCTTCTTTTTTTTTTTTTTTTTTTTTTCTTTTCTTTTTTTTTTTCTTCTCGTTTTTTTTTTCTTCTCTTTTTTTTTTTTTTTCTTTTGTTTTTTTTTTTTTTTCTTTCGTTTTTTTTTTTTTTTTCTTCTCGTTTTTTTTTTTTTTTTTTCTTTTTTTTTCTTCTTTTCTTTTTTTTTTTTTTCTTGTTTTTTTTTTTTTTCTTTTCGTTTTTTTTTTTTCTACATATTTCTTTTCAGGTTTTGTTATTAGCAACAAATATCAAGAAATCTCATACAAACCAGTTTTAATTGTTAGCATTGTAATTTTAACATTATAACCTACTAAACAACTGAAAATTTTTTTTTTTATTATATAATAAATACTTCTGAAAATATTGGGTAATTCATTTGTCTTAAATAGCCAAAAAATCCATTCTGGATACTCTTTTTTTTTTTTTTTTTTTTTTTTAAATGTGTGACATACTTGGAGCATTAAAGTCTTGCTATAAAGCTATTTCCTTAAAGATTATATATTATGAAAATAAAATTCTTTTGTATAAATTCTTTAAGTATATTCTAACACTTGAAACATAAAAATTGATTCTTAATAATCGTATCTTATTTATATCTTAACTGGATTACTCTGTTTTTTTTGTCATATGCCTTCAGGACATAGACTGTCATGTCCCTCAACAAATTCCTTTTCTTCATTATCTGTGAATTAGTATAACAGTGATTTCCTGTTGCTTTCTCCAGTTTGAAATTCAGTTTTACTTCTAGACTGGTTGTTACCCAAAGCTAGAAAGTCCAGTCTACTCTGCTATTTAACCCATTGCTGAGGTTTACTCAGACTATCAATTAATAATTAGCAGATAGATGTTCTATTGCCTGAATGCTTGTTGTTATAAGGTATTGTAAATAATCCATTATAGCAGTAAATGTTGTGTGTTCAATTAAACATCATTCTATCTTTAGAAAATTGCAAATGGTTGTTCTTGGGACAATATAGTCAGTCTATCTCACTATAAAATTTGCTGCTTTTTTTCCAAGACAGCATGTACAAATGATTGCCTTCTCTTTCTATATGTCAAGATGAGACTAGACATTCAACACATTCCTTTATATAGAACATCTTTCTATAGGATGATTGTCCAGTAACATCATTAGAATCATCTGATAACATATTTGCATTGTATATAGTATGTTTTCTGTATTCTGATTGGATAATCTTGCTTGTAATTTCAGTCACAGGCTTTTAGGGAGAAATGTCACTTAAATAATCTTATTTATAGTGTATCATTTTGACAGGCATCAAACTGTTTCTATTTTCATTTTCTTTTCTACAAAGAAGGAAAGAAAAACTATTGATTCCTTCTATCCTGTGCTTATATTGAAAAATATTTCTGAAATGAAAATAATTTTGTTTAGCAACTTTGAGTCGGTGGAGTGACTGCAGTTATCAACAAACAAAATGAAATGTGACTTGAAAATACAAAACCAATGATGGTGACTGTAGAAAAATAGCTGGTTTTATAGCTGAAAACTTGCTCTATTCAGTGGTGGTATTATGCTCCTTGTATCTCTTGTAGTTTTAAATAGTTTTTCCAATGGTAATGCTTCCTGTTTTGTATGCTGTTAGGGTAGTTTAACCCTCAATTAATTATTAAATATAAAAATGACAAAGAAGTTTTTAAAAATGGATGAAAAATTTTTTTAATGATAAAAAATAAAAAGAATTGAGAAGAAACACTAAAATTTTAAGTAATTTTGAAATTTTTACTCATTCTTAGCATGTCCAAATGATGGCTTGTTTACAAAAACAAAAAAGTAAAAATAATTAAAAATTTTAAAAATAAGTTAAAAATTTTAAAATTGTTTAAAAATTAAATAAAAATATTTAAGGAAGAAATTTAGAAAAAAAGTTTATTTAAAATATTTTGAAAGAAACTTTTACTTACTTTTTTAGAGAAAAATGTTTTTAAAGATAAAAGATCTTCAATTTTGACAAAGTGCAAAGTGATGACATCTATAAATTATTGACAGCAAAGAGTTCCCATAAGAGCACAGAATGGACATATTATTTTTTTTGATGTTTTCCTAAGTAGTAACTTTGATTTGTTCCTTTCATTACAATTTTTTTTTTTTGGTTGTCAAATTTCTTCTGAGAAATTTAAATACTTTTTCTTAAAATACTGGACTGCTGTTTGAGGGCCCATATAGACCCCCTGTCAATTCAGATTTCATTACAAAAAAAAATTCTATCCTCAGTAAAAAATAATCAAAATTAAAAGTCATTTTGTCACCCTATTCTAGGGAAAAAATAAATAAATGGATTCTTATATTTTATGTAATAAAAAATTACTTATCTGGAAAAATGGTAAAGATTTATCTGAAATGAAACTAGGTATTTTCTGAAAGCAAACAATATGTTTCATTTAATTTTAAAAATTGGCCAGTGTAAATGACTGAAAAGTTTTAGTTTTCTAGATGCAAAATGAATCTTACTTATTATAAAACCCAGGTGTGTGTGTTCGTTTATTGGATCGAATTTCCTAAAAACCAATTTCAACCAAAATTTACAGGACTAATTGAAAAACTAGATGAAAGTTTTTTTAAAAAATGATGCACCGTGTTTCAAGGAACAGTTTGCTCAAAGGCTTAAGTTTACAGCGAAGAACAACCCTTAAGACAGAAACTCAATCCTCGTGGCGTTATTTTTAACGCACTAAACTTAAGATTTCATTTAAACACATTATTGACAATAATTTTTTTATATCAAAGACTCATTAGTTTCTTTGAAATTATAATCTGTAAAATATATCTACTTAAAACAAAGTTAAGCTTAAGTTTCTTTTTAGAAATAATGTAAAAAAAAAAACAATGGTTGCGGAAATAAAAATAAAGTAGGTAATTTTTTTAAAAATTCATTTTCGCGAAATAAGAGCTTTCAGACAATATTGTCCATGTTTATGAATAAATAAAAGCTCAAAAGCTTTTGAAATTAAAATATTTTTTTTTTTATTGAGTTTTTGTATATTTACACTTCAGAGACGATTTTTCAGGTAGAAGGGCTCTAACTAAAAAAAAAAAAAAAAGATGATTAAGTTTCCTCAAAGCATTGACTTTTAACTGATATAATCACTAAACTCCTTAAGAATTGAAATTATGACAATTAGTTAGAGTGGGTAAATACATATAAAAAAAAAAAAATTTCTGCAATGACTTTACTAAAAAAAATGTATTTATAATAAGTTCCATCATTTGTAAATAGTTTCTGAAAATTTCATTAAAATCGACAATTATTTTCATGACAAGATTTTCCAAATTAATGTGTGTCAAACGGGGAAAAAAAACGGCGCCCAAATGTTTTAACGTTAATTTATCAGCCAAGCTGATAAAAAAAGAGAAACAAGGTCTTTTAATCAAAATTTACAATGTTCTAAAAAGAAGGAAAAATTTAAAAAATAAGTAAAAATACTTTGATCTTTCCTCTAAAAAGTAACATAAGCATTTAGGACGAAAAAATTTTGTTTTCATTTAGACGCTTTTTTTTAATCATGCTATGCTCTTTTTTTAGCGATCCAACAGAGATACCTATGTTAGGGTAGTTTAACCCTCAATTAATTATTAAATATAAAAAGTGACATGAGCCGAGTTTTAAAAAATGGATGATAAATTTATTGTTAACACTTAAAAATAAAAGAATTACACAAATTAAGTGCTTTGAGTGCCAAATGATGGCCAATAACATGTATGTAAAAATAATCAATGCAGATGAAATATGCCTTGTTTACAATAAAAATATAAGGAAGAAAGGAGAAAATACTTCTGAATAGTTTTCAAAAATAGGTACAATTTTCAAAGCAAAGTTCATGGTAATAGCAAAGACTAGAACAATC